AAAATATTTTAAATTTTTATTTTAAATTAATATATTTTTAATATTTTTAGATTATTTTGATGTGTAAAAGTTAAAAATAATTTTTAAAAAATAAAAAAAATATTATTTTAATATATTCTAAAATAAAAAATATTTTAAAAAATAACTATTTTCACACTCTCAAATACCGTTTACTTTTCATACATTTATATCTTATAATCAGTTTTGGCTTCCCATCATCACAAATATATATTGGTAAACTATCTAGATAAGAAAAAAAAATAGTTTACAGGTATAAAGATATTTTTTTTAAATTGATTATTTGTTCCATATATCACCTTACAAGATATAATTTTTATATATCTAGTTTTTCTAATGTGTAAATGCTTTAAGTGTTATGTTTTTTTTATATTATAAATATCCTTATAATAAAATTAGTAAATTTATTAGGAGAGCCTATTCATTAAGGCTTTCATATAATTTACTATATAATAGAAACTTATATTTATAAACACTTAGAAGAGAATGTTTCTGATGAATCAATATCTTTTATTATATATTTTTATAAATAAAAATAACTTTAAAAACAAAATAGGTTTCGCAGGTATGCCAAATTTAAAGAACTCGGGTTTGACAATTAGCCAAACGTAAGGTAATGTAAATTTGACAAACATGCTAAATTCAAAAAACTTAGACTAGACAATCATCCAAGTTCAATATGACATAGAAGCACTTATGCTTGGCATTCATCTAAGTTTAAGATGACGTGGGTCTACTAAACACACTAGATTCAAAGAACTTGAACTTAGTAATTAGTCAAGTTCAAGATTGTAGTCAGCCAAATCTAAGATAACATGAGTCTAACAAACATGTTAAACCTAAAAGATTTGGACTTGACAATCGACCAAACTCAAGATAACATGAGTCTATCAAACATGCAAGACCCAAAGAACTTAATCTTAATAGTTAGCCTAGTCAAAAGTTGTGTGGGTTTGACAACTATGCCACGTCAAAAACACTTGGACGTGACAATAAACTAATTCCAAGAGAATATAGGTTTGCCAAATATATTAGATCCAAAGTATTTGGACTTGGTAGTCAATTAAACCCAAGATAATATTGGTCTAATAAGCATACTAGATCTAAAAAATTTGGGTTCAACCATGATCAAGTTCTAAGGTAATATCATGATAGTGGCTTTTTTATTTTTTTTTATTTAAAGAGAATAATTTTTATTTTTATTTTTATTTTTTATTTAGTATTATTAGTATTTTTTTATTTTTTCTATTTAAAGAAAATATTTTTACTATTTAATATTGTTAGAATTTTCTAGTTTTTTTTTTAATTATGTACAAAGGACTTTTTGGCAATTAGTAGACATTGATGAATGAAAATTAAATATTTTAGATGTTTCCTCCTAGTTATAATGTTATTAATTTTTAATGGTTTAGACTTATAATAAACCATGTCATTTTTCATTTCTGACTACATAAGAGTTTTTTTTTTTAATAAATATATTTCTTTGTTATTTTTATTTCTCTTAGTTTAGTTTAGGAATTTTATTTATTTATTTGTTAAGTATCATTAGGATTTTCTACTCAAAAGAGAATATTGTTTCTATTTTATTTTTCTTATTCAATATTATTAGGATTTTCTAGTTTTTTTTTTGTGTAAATGATTGTAATCAATTTTTGACAAATATATTTTGATAAATAAAAACTAAATATTTTAATTGGTTTTTTCATGATTATGGTATTATTGATATTTGAGAGTTTTGATTCATAGTAAATTTTGTTATCCTTCGTTTTCAACTATATCATATAAGAGCTAGGGGTGATGATTGTTATATAAAATATTTAATGGGATCATCCTCATTTAGTACTGTTGTGTGCTCTTTATTGCTGGCGATGCTGCTCTGCTGGTATATATTACTTCTTTGGAAGCTAAGCTAGTCTTTGTTTTTTATATATATATATATATATATTGTACTCCTGCATATAAAATAAAATAAAATAAAAATTGCATGGGATAGTTATTATAAGTATCAATTAATGATACAACAACAGATGCATCAATACAAAATCGACCTTCGATTGCAACAAAAAGAAACGATGCAAAACACGAATTCTACCTTCTCTGAAAGTTGAGTCTTCCTATAAAATAAGCAAAAAGAGAAGCAGTGACAATGGGGAAGATTACTAGAACAACACCAACAACACTCAAAAAGCTGTGATGGAACCCAAAGTAATCCTCGACGAAATCAGAAAGAGCTTTGGCCTCGCCGAACACTGATATTTCTTCGTCTACATCTCCATATTGTGAGGTCAGCATACCATTTAATGCCCAGGAAGTGGGGCAAATATAATACAACCAAAGCCACCATTTTGGAATACGCTGCGTTGCCAAGCACAAATGAAGAACCATAAGTGATCAGTCAGTTTTGTATTTCAATCCCCTCTTAGTTAGTTCACACCATCTTGGTCAAGATCTTGATAATACGTAGTTTAATTACTTTTAATGGCTGACAGCATTTTATTTCGTTGAAATTATTAAAACCTGAGAAATTAGATTTTGAAACCTAGCCATCCTTATGACAACATGCATATTTTTCTGTCCATGTGTCTTCATCAAAGGCAAAGCTAAAAGGCATGCTTAGAGATGATAGTACTTGGATTGATACTATGGTAGTTAATGTTTGTCTACGCAGGCAACCATGTTTCAAATTGCAATACATGTAAAAAGCCCCGCACTAAGATAAATTGATGGTCGGAAAGCTTACCGGTTTTGGGACAATGAACCCAGAGAAAAAGTTGAGCATTGTGTATGAAAATGAGGCTATAATGGCAGCCACTTGAATGTTTGGTGTCAATGACACAAGCAGCATCCCTTGGTAGTTGAAGAACAGCAATGTGCAGAACATGCTGTAGAAAGACCAGAATATCTTATAGGAAGACGACGAGTAACCAATCATAGGATATGTGACGATCACATAAATGATTGATTGAACGAGCAAGTATGGAACCTCAACTAGCACCTACAAAACAAATTAATAATAACATGCATTAGTAATATAAAATTATACTTAAATAATAACTTAAACAAATCATGATATTGAATTTAAATCGCATCATTCCATTTGAATTAATTAAATTAAAAAAAATAAAACATAAAATAATGATAGACCCATACAAGTTTCAAATTTATATATGATATAGTTGAGATAACAAAAACTGAATATTTTAAATAATTAAATAAATATCCACCACTAACATATAATATAAATAATCTAATTGATATATTTATAAACCAATAAAATAAAATTAGGCCAAAAAGCAATTTGAAATAGATTTAATCATACAAGACCAACAAAATGGCATTAAGGTGCTATAATTTTTAATTTGACATATTAAAATATTTCCAGATGATTTTAGAGGTCTAGTTTCATGATAAGATGAACATGCTTGTGCTAGTCCCTCTCTAAAAGACCCCAAATTAGAAGGGAAGATGCTGATACATCTAATTTTGTATTTTTTCCTTGATTTTTCTGTATTTTATATATTATTTTCATATTTTCTGTTAGTTTTTCATTTTATTTAGGGATTATGATTTTTCAATCTTATTAGGGTCAATTTCAATCCAATTTAAAGACTTGTACAAAACTTATTAGACTTATAAACCTCTTTTTATACTTAGATGTCAGTTACAACCTTCTTATTTCAGATGAACATCCAAAATGATCAAGCTTCTGGTGCAGGCATAGCTAATATTCTATCTTCCGTTTGATATCAAACATAACATGGCAAGTTAATTTGGTTCAAGTGTAAACTAGTTGAGATTCTAACAGGAACTCCTAGGAACTGCCAGATATTTTACTTCAGTGATAAAATGAAACTGTTAGGGACTTCAACTTACAGGTATCCATGAGTTTTTACCAAATCATCAACAGTAAACTTACAAGCTAATGTAAAAGAGAAGGATTGAGTATAATGTAAATGAGAAGGATTGAGTATATGTAGTTCATAAGTAGAGACATGAAAGCTAGTTTAAATTTCTCCATGTACTTGACAGGAAAGTAAACAATCTAGTTTTCGAAAGAGATCTGAAACCTGAGCAAATGAATAGGCCCACGAAGAATACATCCCAGCAAATCTTTCCCGGTACAAAACAGTCCTCTCTGTTGCCACAAAAGGCAGCACTGAGGAGCAATTGTTTATGCCGAAGAATACAATGAATGCGTACATTGAGCCGGCTATATTGAACAAATCCTGCTCGTTTTTTCTACAAAATGAGAACTAAATTATCATGAAAATGCCTCTCCATAAAAGCACTGCCAGAAACTAAATGTCAAAGCATCTAAGAAACATTTTATGAGCAACATGACTTTTTTCTGAAAAAAAAGGATAAAGGAAAGAAAAACGTTTTATACAGGTTGTAAATTTTGTGGTTTGTAGAAACATCAATGCTTATTGACTTACATTTTCTTTCCTTGCTGCCAGTACAGCAGGCCAAATACGAAAGCTCCAGAGGACATGAAAACAATGCGCGCAAGGTTATAAGAAGGACTTCTCCAATAAGACAAGTTTTGTTTCCACAGGCATGCTTTGAGTTGCCCCCATCCATTTTGTGAAAAACGAGTAGGAAAATGCAGTTCTTTGGAACCAGGAGTTGGTGAACTCAATTGCTTGACCAAATCTTCATTCTCCCTGCAGTCAGAGGCGTAAGGTTATTATTCCTTCTTAATATCAGTGCTATAGATCATCATGGTTTTTGTACTTACCGATACAATGTAGACCCTTCATAAATTCGACCAAAATCTACACCAAGTTCAGCCTCTGCAGATTGAGAAGTAACTTCTAAAATCCATGTTGCAGGATTGTAATTGTCCTTAATCTTAGGCACACCAGGAATACTCTATCCAATGAAGTCAGGAAAATAGAATCAAGGTTAATGGAGAAGTCTGTCAGCTACCAGAAGTACCTGAAAGACAATGACATCAAAAACAGAGAATTTCGCGACAACTAACCTCGAAGTACTCAATCACCCTGCTTGACCGCTGGCCTAATGGTCCAGAATAGATTATGCGTCCTCCGTTTTTCATTAAAATCAACTGCAGTAGAGAGTAGGATGTGTCAAAACCTCAGTTATATGCACTATGATCTCAGATATGGATGTTAAAACTTTGATAGCATTAGCTTTGCCATTTCAGCCATCGATGTCTTTGTGCAATGCAGATGACTTGGCTTCAGGTGGTATGGGTAGACGGGTTCTATTCTTACCAAATCAATGGTGAAGAAGAAACAAGAGTATCAATGTTATCATTACTTTAGTTTTACCTCATCAAATGCCTCAAAGATATCAATACTTGGCTGATGAATGGTGCAAACTACTGTTCTTCCTGTTTCAACTATATTCTTTGCTGCTCTCATAACTATTGCAGCTGCTCTTGCATCTAAACCCGAAGTGGGTTCATCCATAAATATGATAGATGGATTGGCAACAAGTTCCACTGCTATAGTCAACCGCTTACGCTGCTCAGTCGATAAACCGCTGACTCCTGGCATGCCTACTAAAGAATCTTTGATCTCATCAAGCTCGATAGTGTCAATAACTTCATTTACAAACTCCTGTAAAAAAAAAAAAAAAAGTTGATCATAAAAACTTGTATTACAACCCAGTCTTAATGATTAAGGTCCAGGAACAAAACTATTAGTTCATCTTTTAAAGGGTATCATACAGTTTTAGTTCTCGCATTTATCTCAGGTGGGAGCCTCAACCAAGCAGAGTATATCAGAGATTCTTCTACAGTAATTTGTGGGGAATGAATGTCGGTTTGCTCACAGTACCCTGATATTCTAGCAAATGAATCCTGAACCTTTAGATACCCGCCAATTCTAATCTCTCCCTCAATGGTACCACCAGTTTTCCTTCCAGAAAGAACATCCATAAGAGTTGTTTTCCCTGCTCCACTAACACCCATCAATGCCGTGAGGATGCCAGGTTTGAATGCACCAGAAATGTCAGAAAGAAGCTGAAGCTTCTTCTGTTGATTACCACGCCTTCGCATTTCCTGAGACAAGTATAACAGCAGTTTTTAGACAAAGAAACTGCATTTTATGACTGTCGAGAATTATCTTGGTTACCAGTGGCGTATCAACGTAGTACTGAACATCCGTAAATGTCATAGCAAGGGGCTCAAAAGGCAAAACCATCCTTCCTGCAAAAATTATAGATTGCAACATTTGTAAAGATGTGGAGATATCTCCCTATCACTCTATGGCCAATGTAGATTACCATGAAACAGTCTACAAAGACAAAAGCTTCTGTACAAATGCTATATGTCAACATTGATGAGAGAAGGAAGAAAACAAGCACACCCTTTTTGGTTTCTGCACTAGATTTAGCAGGCGCAGCAGTGAGGGTCATGTCCTTGTCAAAAACATCGCGGTCATTTATTTTTCCTTGCAGCTGATAGTACTTTTCACGAGAAATAATTGCACGAGATTTTCCTGGGGCTGAATGACGATCAATGTATTTGGTTAGCATGGATGCATCTACATTATATTATAAAGAAAACCCACGAAGCAGTAGCAGATGGACTCACGTTTTAAGAAGGTTAAAGCCATTGTGAAACCGATATTGAGAAGCACTGTCATCCCAATCAATGCAACAACTGATATCCAGTAAAAGTAGCCATGAAAATTTAATCCACGGCTTTCTAGTGTTTGTTGTCCGATGGATGTGTAACCAGAGACAACCTGTGTTTAAAGTCGAAGAGTAAATCAACTTCACTACATGGATGGTTAGGGTCCTTTTGTTTGTGCGGCCAACAGCATGGTTAACCTCACAACAGCATGGTTAAAAGTAACTCATTTTTGCAACTACAGAATAATAGGAACCTCACACACCATCTGGATCGCCTAATCAATGAAAATATCTCAACAGAGTTGATTTATACCCAGTAGGAATATTAGATTCTCTTTCCAAAAAAAATTTCTTCCAAATTACTATTTTAAACCAAAAATAAGAAAAAAACCGACTGAATTTTAGCCTTGGTGTCCAAAGAGTAACTACGCAAGGCTGAATACTTGAAAAGTACCTTTTCCCACCGAGGAGCAAGAAACTCATTGACAGTCAAACCTATCTCACCATATGTTAATGGAGAAATCCAAAATCCCCATGCCAGCCAAACAGGCATAGCGGCTGCAACAGCACAAACTATTAAGGAAAATCATTTGAACAATATCACAGGATTACGAGGAGCAGTATGAAATCTCACGTTTTGCAATTACGAAGCCACCAAATACTGAAGCAACTAATATAGCGAGAGAACCAGCTGCTGTTGAAGCAACCACAGTTTGGAAGACAGATGCAACAAACCGAAACATGGATGTTGATGTCAAGTGTACCAGAAAGAGTAGAAGGAACTGGCGGAGAAACCTAAGAAACACAACTGCTCAGCAGATGAATAAAGAAATTCATGGCATCCAAAGTTCCTAAATAAAGAGAAGCCATAGTAACTGAAGTAGTTGAGACATTAGCTGGTTAACCTCAGCCAGAGCGAATCTATAGCTTTCTCAACCTCCAGAAAACAGTAATAGCTCTTCTATGCATCCTATGAATGATATGTACTATAAAAACTTCTTGGGTTCACATATACTCTCCCCAAGTTACTGGTTTTGCCTCATCATGGAAAAAGTGTTTGAACTGACAATAATATCACTTTTTCACAGCCAGAGAGCAGGTTCGTAAGTTGTTTTTTCATGCAGTATCAGGTATAGCCACATACCCACTCTTTTGCATCATATTTACCAGTACGTTTAACTTTTAAGTGCTTAATTTTTGAACCCCCCATCTAGAGCTCACCTTCCGAACTCAGGGCTGTAGCCGATGACGTAGTAAGTAAGAGCTGTCCAAACAAAAGCTTCCAAGAGTGAAACTGGAACTTTAAGGATGGCAGAAGGGATCGCATAAGCCCAAGCAGGATAAAAACATAGCTCTCTGTGTTTATAAAAAACTGCAAGTCGAGAGACAGTCATCTGCAGCTCTGGAAATCCATCTACAAGTAAGATAACCAGTCCATAGAACAAAGCACCCATGTAATAGCTTGCATGGATCGCATCAATAGCCATTCTTGTGCGCAGTAAGACAGTCATTGTTATTGAAGCAATGATAAATAGCTGTGCAAAGAAGCAGGGATGTTTTCCGGTAAGCTGCCTGGTTTTTTACAAGTAAAAGCTAAAAGATTTGCAGATGATGGGTATAATGAAAGATACCTGTGTAGTTTTGAATACATATATAAAAGAATTCCTTTTCATTAGAAGAAATTCTCTTACACTGCAAGCTTTAAACATTTCCCATTTTGTTAACGAGTAGCTTGTGAAGGATAAAGCACTCTTGTGGTTTTTAGACTTATCAAATGGCTTCGTGATCTCTTCCTCTAGATTCTTGCCAAGCTGACTTTCTTTGAATTTTTTAACAAACTGGTCAACTGAAACATAACTGTATGGTTGTTCAGTAACGAACCAATATTGTCCTTGATCTTTTCTGGAAATAACCTGGAGCAGAGCGAAGGAGTAACACAAGTCAACTTTAAAATGAAATATAAATGGAGAGACAAACAGAAGGTTGAAGACCCACCTCTTGAAGGAAGTCCGCAACACCTTTTCTTTCAGGGCATCTAAACCCACAGTCCTCAAAGAATTTGCAAATACTAGAACGGGGGCCGTGATACACAATCTTCCCTTCTGTCATTAGAATGATGTCATCAAAGAGATCAAAGGTCTCTGGTGCTGGTTGAAGTAATGAAATCAACACAGTAGCATCCATAATATGAGACAAATGTTGTAGACAAGATATAATTTGTAAAGTGGTTGAGCTGTCTAAGCCATTTGATATTTCATCCATGAAGAGTGCTCTTGTTGGCCCGACAATCATCTCCCCTGTAACACAAAGGTAAAAAATTCACAGGCATCAAATGAAGTTCAGCATCTTGAAGATCTTGAGGAACACACATTCTCTGAAGTATCGTTTCTTATCTCAAGCATAAAATACCTGTAGTCAGCCGTTTCTTCTGACCTCCTGAGATACCTCTTCTCATGGCATCGCCAACCATTGTGTCGGCACAAATATCAAGTCCTAGAATCTGAAAGAAAGGGTAAGATGAAAAATATTGTAAAACAATAGGATGTTTGGACAATAAGCAAATGGAATGTAAGACTTCAGTCCTGTGGAATAAACCTAGTAAATTACCTTCAATATGTAATCTGTCTGAAGGTTACTTTTCAATCCCTCAACTGATATTGCCTGACCACAAAAATAAAGTAAATAAATTCTTCCAAAACATGTACGCGAACCTTCTGAATATCCAAAACGTGGGATCCACCATGTCTACCTTCATGTAGGCATCCATATCAGAATCTGGAAGTATTCCTGCCTGCTTCTCCCTTCTACTGACTTCCATCATGATCTCTTTCATGAAAGGACAACAAATAACATAAGGTTTGCCAGGAAAATGAGAAGGTACTCTGCAGAATTACGTTGAGAGTTTGATTTCAATTAAAAGAAAAATTCACTACTTGTGTCTATAAAGAATTCTTACCAGCTCGGCTTCCTGCTCCTTGACAACGTGCTGAAAAATCAATTGTTTCTCTCACTGTCATCTCTGGAATATGCAGATCATATTGGCTAACATATGCAGAGGATTTCTGAGGAGCAAACTCTTCCAATTTATGACCATTGTAAGACATTTCCCCGGCAACCTTTATAAGAAGATATGGATCAGTGAGTAACTTAAAGCTGAACCGATCCCATTTCCACATAACAATTTTAATTGTGGAGAAATTTGAGAGCTTTAGGCAGCAGTGCAAGCAGCAATCTCACAAATATAGTCAAGTATGATGCATTTCAGATTTTATTGAATATAATAATGTGTTCATGGATTTCAGTAAAATAAATTTCTAGTGAATCAAATCTCTACAAACACCAGAATTGTTTAGACAATAAGGTACACGACTAACTTCCAGAAATTTCTAAACATTTCCTGAGTGAAGATTCTATATGGAATTCCCCATTACTGTTGAAAATTATTTTTCTCTTATTTGTGTCATAGAAGCAAGAAAACCTTCAGAGAATGGCTTAGTTTCCCAGAGAGAGCCATCAACATAGTAGTTTTTCCACATCCTGGAGGGCCTAGTAATAAAGTCATCCTGCAAAAAAACATGAACAGCAAGTGAACTTGAAGTTATCATGCCAGATTCAGTACATTTCTTGTTTCCAACATAAGTAATGAAGCATATGAGCAAACACACATTGATACAACCCCTGTGAAGGCTAGAAAGTTGCTCATTAGAATAAACAACCAATTACTGAGTTCCCTTAGGACTCACGCGAATACTCTTTCC